GTGGGCGTGGCTAGTTACCGTAGTTAAGAAGGCTCGGAGGTACTACTAACATTTCGGCAACATAAGGCGGAATTTGAAGTAGTGAAGCAAAGTTTTTATTATATGATTAGTGTTGCACATTGTATTAAACAGTACCAAACGAATGTTACGGATATTTGATCGAATAACGAGCGCGATATGCTGGTATGAACTTCAGTCGTTGATATCGCTGCATACCGAACGGAATCAATCGAATCGTTATGTCTTCAAACTCGAAATTGAATGGAAATATTTGATCGGTCATGATAGTTTTTGGTGCAAGTTCGAGACGGTAGCTGAAATGATAAATTTTCTTATTGATCGATAATGTTGAAATGATCACTAACGACTAGTTTACGAATTTTACCACAATATAGCATACATAATTAGTAGAAAAACCGTGGTTTCCGATCTCACTAGGAACATCATCTTGTAATGCTGATGACCAGAGAACTTCGGCAATAGTTTAGTGAATTGACAACTGCTTTTATGCTGACAATTTTATTGTTAGCGGCTGTATGCTTACTGATATGGTAACTACTGAGTGAACTTTAGGATTAAGATGCGTCAACAAACTTCCGAGAGATTATTGGCAGATGCTGATTTTAATGTTCACACATCTGTTCCACATAATGCGGATTAAATCTTATTGCTACCGTTTTTGCGGAACTGGTTTCTGTTTAAGATCTTAAGGTAGACGGAGTCCCTCCACCATCCCCCTGCCAGCTCCAACGAGTTCCTCCAAGTGCGACTTGGCTTTCAGAGCATTGGCAGATCTTGATTCTAAAATTCGTACGCCTGCTTCACATAATGCGGACTAGATCTCATCACTAGCGTCAGTCGCAGAATAGCGTTCCGTTCGAGACCCTAACGGAGACCTTACTTGGGTTTGCGCCTCACCCCAATTTCTACCACTTCCTCAAGTTGAGACACGCCCCGCCAGTTTCCTCCTTGGTCTTTTTGACGGGTCCCCATCTCGCAGGGCAACTTGGCTTTCAGATGGTGTCGCCCTCGTCCAGAAAGCTGATCCCCCGATGAACTTCAGTCACGACTGTCGGTATCAATGATGAAACATTTAATAATACAAACATTCCATCACGAACGGCAGCATGGCTGCACTCGTTTGTCCTTTCGTCAATGAAACCGAAGCCGTTATCTCTTAAATACTTCATCTTAGTCGTATTTTTAGCCGTTCCATCGATTTGAATGAAATATGGTGGGTTTTTCCGTTCGGGACCGTAGAACCAGTTGATGTTCGATGCAACACTGCAATATACATAAGCAATTACCGCCCGATTTCCATCTAAGATACGACACTCATGAATGAGCGTCCCTCTAAAATTAACTTAAAAGCTACCGCTTCTACGGTCCCCAAAAGTACGGGTCCTAATGCTTAAACCTCAGTGAATGTGGTAAAGTTTTTATGGTCGAAAGAGATCAGTGTCAAGAAGTCAAATGAGCCGTTAACGAGGCAAGTTTTGCACAAAAATTCGAAAAGGCTTCATTTATGTATGCTGCAGAGCACAACCGCGCTGCCCCTTTCGATACTCATTCCATCTCATCACTTTATTTTTGGTCATGCAGGTTTGACCGCGGTGTGCGTCAAACTGAACTTTGTATCTCTCATCACGCAATTTTGAGATCAAATGAGCCTTCGGTCGAGGATAAAACGAGTGATCGAAAACGGTTTGATCAAGTAAGGTATTATCAAAATAGATATTGCTAAAGTGAGATGCGCTGGGGCGAACGATAACTTTGCCCCAACGCATCATGTTAAATTAAGATGCATTTGGCGAACGATACATCTAATAAAGGAATGAAAAAAAAACCGATAATATTAGCTTGAAAACATTTCAATTTTAAAATGAATGAGTGCAGAAAAGGACAGTTCTTAGAACCTGTGGGGCATTAAATAGCATTTGGCTACAGCATTTTGACAAAGTTTTGATAAGAGCGCTGAATCTGCTGCGACCATTTGCAGAAGTAGCGTGTGGAGTCGATCAAAGAGTCGTCGACTCCGATCATTAGCACGCGCGAAAATTGTTGATCCACATATCCACGGTTGGAGCTTTTTGAAGTAAAATATCTGGAAATAGTTTTGTGCTGAGCAGATTCGAATCAACCATCTTCCCGTTTGCAACAACAAATTTGGGATGAAACAGGATTAGAAGTTTTGGTTAGTGTGAGTTTCAAATGGGTAACATCATTAATATTGCAATTCGATTTTTCAATTTCACATTCGGAAAGGAAATCTCAGAGAGAATCCGGCCTTTAACTTATTTTTGTAATCAATTACCTCGTCAGTTCCAACAGTATCGAAGTAAGCATCATAATCAGTCAAGTCATTATTCTGATCATGATCGAGATCATAACCGAAATCAAAAAGACTAGCTCGCCAAATGCTATCCGCTTGAGTCATCCAAAGAGAGATATCCTCGTATAGAAGAGTTCTGATTAAATTCGCACGAAATATAAACATCAATTGATAGCGATACATCTGATGAACAATTTGCCCTGCATTATCCGCTTGACTTTTTATGCCTCCCTGCAATATTCAGAATTTGGAATACTTCATTAACTATGAAATCAGTTGTGAGTTCTTTGGTTATTTCTAGGATTAGTGATGGCAATTAACCGAATTGATAGCTTTCCTACACGTTAGTTTCTTGGCAATCACGGAAGTATAGAATCACAGAAATGGATCTCATCGAATTACAATTCAATAATTCAAAATTCTTTCGCGATTCCAACGAATTTGAGAAATTCAAAAATGGATTACGTCTAATTACGATAGAAATGTCCAATTTTTTACGGAGTAACTGAAGTATGGGAAAATTAAGATGGATTCGTTGTCTTTCGATCAAAACAATCTGTTTCTCGGTCAGCATCCCTAGTGAAAATCATCTGGTTCTTGGACGTCGAGTGAGCACAATAGTGTTCGAAATATAAAGTGCAATGAATGCTGAACATTCGATCAGACAACAGTTTACCTGTAGCAACGGATTTTCGTATATGAGAATTGGTATAGAAGGATAAAATGCTTGAATTGTTTGTGCAGATTCCTCATCAAATGTCACAAATGCCATTCGGTCCAGAGCACCCTTCATGATACTCAAATTGCATAAGTGATTCAACACGAGGTCGGTTATTTTGTTGTTCAACTGAAAATCATTCATTCAAATTTTAAAACATTTTAAAATACATTATGCATAATTCAACGAACAAATTCCAAGATGTTCGACCTAGGGTGATATATCCTGTGGTATCCACCTCAGCAGCGGGCCTAATCAGCTTATAATTATTTATTATGGCATTTTCAGGTTGATGGACATTCATTGTTATTTGCTTGTATCCTATTCTTCGATTTCACGATAAACTCTCCATTTTTTACTTGCCGTGTTGTACCTTCTTGTCCGACAAAAAATTTAGATGTTGAGGAGAACAGCCAAAATGAATCAGTGTTGTTGATGAGCTAGCGAAAGCTCATTCTGCGATCATTCAAAACATATCTGTTGTTCAGATCGTTTTCACTTGATGTATACCATCAGAATAGTTGCGATCACAAAAAATTAAATTGAAGCTCACAAATTGTATATTTGGTGGCTTTCCAATAGCCTTGAGACGACGAATGAAGTTTGCGTAGTCAGTTGCCTGTCGGATTGATTCCATAGAAACACTTGCAGCATTCTCGTTCAGTAACTTCAGAATGTCGCGTTCAATCTAGTATATCGTCCATATAAATCACGTGCAAAACATCCAAAGTTTCTTACGACCGCAGGCAGTTAAACTCGCCGTGGTCCTTCAGGTACAAAAAATACATCAACGAGATTTGCACTTAAAAATTATCGAAGTAATACTCTCTTTCTTATGATTGACTCAGAGATTGTTATTGCTGATTGAATGATATGATTGATAAATGAGGTTTTGCACAATACCTTGGCGATCTGTAACTGATTGTCTGGGGGTATGCATCCATAGAGGAAGAGTAGAATAATTGCAGGTGCTATGAGGTGACCTGGCGGGTTCGAAATCCATCGGCTGCATATTCTCATGTCGTTGAGTATCTGAAACTTTCAGAACTATTGAGGGAATTTTTGAGAGGTATCGTTGATCAGAATTGATACTTCAATTGCTAATCCCATCGCACTTTCCCAGCATCCATTTCGATTGAAATTTAATCCAGCTATTTTACTGAAGCACATAAAATCGAAGCTGTTTATGAAGCATTTTTCGTTCAATAACTTCAGAATGTCGCGTTCAATCTAGTATATTGTCTTTATAAATCACGTGCAAAGCAACCAACGTTTCTTACGACTACAGGCAGTTAAACTCGTCGTGGTCATTCACATGCAAAAAATACATCAATGGTGATTTCCTCTTGAAAATTATCGAAGCAATATTCTCTTTATTGCAATCGCTTTTGAGATCTCCGAACGAATGATCGAGATAAGAGATAACGATGAAAAGGGTTGCATGAGTGGAGGCATATCAATTGCTGGATGGTTAACATGGAACGGACAAAGTATAAGTACTGCTATCAAACAAGCGCAGTAGCGCATCATTGCTGACCGTGAGATAGACGAGGTTGGTGAATAATCCTAGTGAATCCATAACCATTCAGGCTATCTAAGAGCGATAAACCATAAGTGGGACATTGATGAATATGATATTCTTCTGAGAAATCTGTTTGAAACACAAGCAGTGTTTTCAGTACATAACTACTTAGTAGGGTAAGTGTATTGCAATGATGCAATTGGGAATACTTAGTGATGGTCCATTCGGTCCTTGTTCCACTTAGATCGTTATCATTTGATTTGCTTATCGCTAGGTCGGGGTATGATTGTATTTTTTTGAATAATGTGATCGTAACGAGTTGTGATTGCTGATCGAATCGTATGATTGGTAAATGAGCGTTTTTACAATACCTTGGCAATGTGTTATTGATTGTCTGGAAGTATGCATCCATAAAGGAAGAGTAGAAGAATTGCAGATGCTATGAGGTGACCCGGCGGGCTCGAAATCCATCCGCGAGATATTCTCATATTGAACACCTGAAACCTTTGCAGAATAACTAGACAGGTATCGTTGATCAGGAATGATAATTCAATTGCTAAGCCCATCGCAATCTCTCAGTACCCATTTCGATTTAAATTTAATCCAACTGTTTCACTGAAGCACACAAACTCGAAGCTGTTGATGAATGCAACAAACAATGAAGACTCTTGCATACCATCTAGTTAGTGAACCAGCACAGGACGTGAAATATTCATGGAACTGCATGAAAATAAACGTTATGTGATACTTAAAAGGTTGTAACAATAAACACTTCCGTTGATCAGCTTTGATCGCGAGAACGATCGTAAATCGTGTCTGTATTGAATATCAATGGGATGAAAAAATCATTTGTTGGAGGAGTTTGGACGGAATTAAAGACCATGAGTAAATTTGTAACATCTCGGCTGTCATTTCCGAAATTAGATGTGACATGAGCTCTCATTCTATCCATTAT